TGCGGGCACGAATCCGGCCAGGTCCGGTGGGCGAGAGTGCTGCCGCCGCCCCCCAACAGCCGGTGCCCACACCCGGCCGGCCGCCCAGTAGCTCGCCCGCGCTGACCCTCGGGGTCCGACTGGACATCGACTACCCGCTACCCTAGCGCAAGGCCAACCCTGCACCCAGAGCCACACACCTGGGTGTCCCGGCTGCCCGCCCCGCGGGCCCCACGACCGCGGCGTCCAGATCCGCGCCGCTTGCTGGAGACGCCGCCAGCTCCAGTGGCCCGAGTGACTTCCAGGCTGCCCACTTCCAAGCCGCTTCGCGCGAGGCCTCCTGGGAACTGTAGTTTCGCCCTAGGCGGCCGCAAACTGAAAAAAGCCTGACGCGCAGGTGCTGCCGGGAGCAGTAGGCGCGGCGCCGCGCCGCCTTCTGGGAATGGTAGTCCACCTGTCGCCTCAGTGCCGCTCGAGTCTCCAGAGTACTTCCGCAGCCCCGAGGGGCGTGAGGGATGGAGGTGTGTCTTCTGTAGACTCCAACCCGTTGACTGCGTTCCTTGCTCTGCGAAGGCGGTTTTTTCCTTTCTCCCAGCTCTATCCGCCTCCTCCCTTCCTTCAGTAAGCCCTCTTTCTCCTTTTCCGCGAGGCGCGAGGTACTTACCCCGAGGGCGCGAGCCTCTGGAGAAGCGGGAGCAGCGGAACACAGCGCTAGACCCCCAACTGAGGGGAGCTGTGGAGAAAGGCGTCTATGCGCGCTCGCGCACGCGCGCTCGCCGGCCAACTCCGGCCTAAATTGCCGCGGGCCCCCGCGGGGAAGACTTTTTTTTCTCCTTTCGAACGCGCGCGCGCGCGGGGTCTCGCGCTGGGCTTTTTCCTGCCGGGCGCGCGCCAGTGCGCACGCGCGCTCACTCCCCTTGCCTTGGTCAGTCCGCCGGGCGCGGGGTTGGGGAGCTAACCGTTTTGTTGGTCGAGTCCTCCCGCAGTATCCCCAGGGTCGGTCCTCTGGCGCTCCTATTCTAGGTCTGGCCCTTCACATAGCTTCGGAGTGCCGCCACACACGCCGTACCCGTCCCTTGTCTGGAGCCCAGTCGTCGCAGGTAACAGGCGCGGCCCCAGCCTTGAGGAGGCGGACACGCCCTTCTTCCCTCCCACGCGGAGAGCCGGGATGCCAGAATGTGTTGGGATTCCGGTCTGGTCGCCTCTCCTCGTAGTAGGAGTCTCTGGAGCTCTGCCTTCGACGGGAGTCTTCTGACCACCACCCATGGGGTTGCCCTGGAAGCCATGTTACCTATCATTCATTCGTTGATCGCACATTCTTAGGGTAACCAGTGTTCGTTGAGTACCTATGGCTGGGGAGATTTTGTTAAAATTTAGTCCACATGCCGACATAATCAAGGATCCGACATTTTTTATTGGCTTTCCTACTACTCCATAAGGGGTTACCGAAAGAACTAGCTGGAATTGCAAGGTTCTTTGGTCAAGAAAACCCAGTCAATACCGTTCCCATCTCTTCCTTACTTCCAAGAAGATGCTGAATTAGACTGAGCTGGGAAGTATATATTTCTTCTTCCTGGGAGAGGGGCAGAGGGTGATTAATTTGCTCATTCATTCAACAAAAATGTATTAGGCACCTACTTCATGCCAGCTTGGGTGATTATCAGGACAGGGGAGAAATCAAGATAGATTCGGTTCTTACTCTCAAGGAACCAAAGTCCAGACCACCATCGGAAGGTGATAATCTAAAGCAATACTAATAGAAGTATAATGCAAGCCAATTCTGCAACTTTAAAATTTACATTAAAAAATTAAACAGGTGAAATTTTAATAATTAAGCCAGTATATCTAAAATAAAGTTATGTTTAATGAAAGAAAGGTTTACATTGCTTCAGTTTTAAGTTAATTAAAACTGTGAGGCATTAACAAAAATATTCATTTGTGACATGGGTTATAGCAAAAGGCTGGAAACTGCCCAATTTCTATTAATGGACGTTAGATAAAAGTTCAGCCGGACAATGGAATACCATGCAGCTGACAACTGTTGAAAAATGAGACAACTGTATGTTTTAATATGAGTTAATCTTTAAGATTATTAAGTGAGAAAAATGCAGTGTATAGCACCTGGGCTTCCCTGGTGGCTCAGCAGTAAAGAATCCACCTGCCAATGTAGGATACACGGGTTCAGTCTCTGGGTCTGAAAGATCACCTGGAGGAGGAAATGGCAACTGGCCCCAGTATTCTTCCCTGGGAAATCCTATGGACAGAGGAACCTGATAGGCTAGAGTCCATGGGATTGCAAAAGAATCTGACATGACTTAGTGATTAAACAACAATATAGCATACTAACATTTGTGTAAGAAAAGTAGTATTTTTTCCACATACATCCTTGTGTGTGTACAGAACACCTGTAGAAAGACAACCAGAGTTACCTTTCTGAAAGGGAAATAGGACAAGTAACTCTCTTTTCAGTATATGTTCCTTAGTATGTTTTGAATATTTTTACCATGTCCATTCTGTGACTTAGCTATCAATTAGTGGAGGATGATAGCTAAGTCACAGAATTATTGTAGAGTATTAAAACAATATATGTAAAGTACCTACCTACCACTTTACAACCTTAACCATTTCTGGATGCTATCACTATTCCCATGCTGGATGGATAACTCTTTACCTAATAGGAACTTGCCCACCCTGGTAATACATGTTTTTCAGCCTGGAAAATTGTTTCTTTCCATAAAGTGTGTTAAATGCATTCCAGTCCCAGCCCTAGCTGTGACATCACTTATAAGACCAGAGTAGTAGTCCAGGCCTTGGGGACAGACTAGCTCCTTATTAGAAATGTCATTCAAAAAACAACAACAGAGTAAGCTGAGATTGCCCTCTGGCTTTCCAGTCCCTCTGACTTTCCAGTCAACTGATGTCAGCTGGGCTTTCTGCATCGCTGTCCCCAAACATATGAGCCACCTGCAAGGCTATAAGATCCATGCAGGGCTTTACCTCACATCACTATTCTTTAGGGTGATCAGGTTTCCCTGTTACACATACTCACAATACTTTGTTCTTTTCTGTCTTAAATAGGGCCCAACAGTGACATGGGATGCAGTGCCCCCTAGAGTCATTTCTCTGTATTACAAAGGCAGGGCTCACAGGATGCTGGCCTTCCATCCCACCATCAACAGAGCACTGTGCCTTGGAATGGACTGCAGTTAAGAAAAAGGATGTGGTGCCAGCATCAGTGTCCAATAATAGACCTAGTTTGTCTCCGTAGTCAGTATTACATACCATATCTCGGCCGCCACACACTGACTCCACTAGGTTGGCTGCATGACTTCGCATTAGATCATCTTTCAGTTATCAAGATATTAAAAAGTCAAAATCACTGGGCTTAAGGCATCTGAATCTCAGGTAATGGGATTAGGGCATCAAAGTGGGAGATTATAGCAGAGGTTTCCCCTAAGGAGACCAGTGTATGAGATGGGAGAAAGTGGCCAAAAGAACAACAAAAAACAGGGAATTCCCTGGCATTCCAGTGGTTAGGACTCTGTGCTTCCACTGCAGGGGGCACACATTTGATCCCTGGTCGGGGAACTAAGATCTCACAAAAAAGATGAACAAACAAAACTTCCCAAAATAACAAACAGAGGTTTGGGGGTTGGAGGACTTCTTTCTTACTAACCTCCAAAGAATATGCCCTCAAGGGTCCCAACCACTTGCTTTTTATGAGCTGGTTGAGAGAAGCTTGAACCCAGAGGAGATATTAGGAAAAATGGAAACTTATGGCAGTGACGGCAGATTTGTTGACTCCAAGTGACCACTCTCTCAGTAGCTCTGGAGCCTCAAGAAGGAGCTGGGGGCAGGGGTGTATAGTTCTGCTCTATGGAGCCCTGGCCTGAGGGGCCACCCACTGATCCATTTCAGCAGGTCACAGTGGCTCCACAAAGGCGGTCAGCAAGTGCAGGGTCACAGGGAAATAGAATGGAAAAAGATATACAGCAGGAGGGCAGCGCGCAGCCTTTGGGAGAGAAGAAACACAGGATGCTAATGTCTGAAAGCCAGTCCCCAGCTCTCATCAGTGAGTTTGTGAGGCAGAGAGCTCACTTAGCCTCAGCTGGGAGAACCTCCTGCTTGTCTGAAAGGATAGGAGAATCCTGAACTGTGGGTTGAGTCTTAGTCTTGAGCCTACCATGCGTAGCTCTGTTTGCATCCTTCACCTCTCTGAATTCACACTTTTTATCCATACAATGGAGGTGACAGGATCTGCCTCTCAGATTTCTTTCGAGAACTCATGAAGTGATTGATGTGGGGTTTTTTTTTGGGGGGGGGCTCTTACCCACCCTACACATGAGATGATGATAAGCTTTGCCTGCTGCTCCCTCTGCCCCAAATCCAGCCATTATGTCTCTGTGGAAACAGACAGTCTAGGCTTAGCCACTCAAGAGGGTGGGTTCTGTTGACCTTACCTCAGGATGCCCCGGCCAAATGACCTGGAATTCCAAGAGTTCTCCAAACCACCGGTTCCTAGACAAGGTTAGCTGTTTAAAACTCAATTTGGGGCTTTACCCTTATGATTTTACAATTCAGTAGGTTGAGGGTAGGGGCTGGTAATTTGCATTCCTAACATGTTCCCAGGTGATGTTGATGCTGCTGTCCTGAGGATCGCCCTTTGGGGACTACTTTTTTAAAGTCCACCAGTTTTCCTTCATCCGGCATGTGCAAGGATGGCTTCCACTGCCCCCTGCTGGCCAGACTATAAATTCAGTTTCCAGAGCAACTGAAAAGGACAAAGTATAGGTTGGGAGGAAATAACTACTTCTCTGGAGAACCAAACCAGCCTAAAAACAGCAGTCATAATTGTCTGTTGCTTCAGAGTATACTTTAAAAGGTATTCACAGGAATTATCATCTTTGATCCTTGCAACAATCCTGTGAAGTAGGCGAGACTTGCATTTTCGTATTATCAATACAAATAAGGAAAACAAGTCCATCGTCAGACTAGTAATGATAGACTCCCTGACAAAGGGGACTTGTTAAAAGTAGGCTTTATTCACATCCAGTCAGAAAAAGTAGAGGTTTATCCTCATGAAGGCTAGAGAGAAGGGAATGGGAGGAAGAAGATGAATAGCAGATGTATCACACACAAGAAAGTGACTTGATTCCACAAGCCTGGGAAAGCCTGCATGGCTGAATGACTGGATTCTTTCTCCAGCTGGACTACGTGGGGCTGACTCTTAGTCCTGGGCACCTTTTATCTTGATTTCCTGTTTCAGGAGTTGAACTTAAACGTCCACTGAGTCACCTAGGGAGCTTATTACAAGGGAAGGACTCAGGATCCCACTGCCATGGTTCTGCTTCAGTACCTGAAAGTGAAAGTCACTCAGTCGTGTCTGATTCTTTGTGACCCCATGGATTATACAGTCCATGGATTTCTCCAGGACAGAATACTGGAGTAGATAGCCTTTCCCTTCTCCAGGGGAACTTTCCAACCCAGGGATCGAACCCAGTGCAGGTCTCCTGCATTACAGGTGGATTCTTTACCAGCTGAGCCTACCAGGAAAGCCCAAGAATACTGGAGTGGGTAACCTATCCCTTCTACAGCAGATTTTCCTGACCCAGGAATCAAGCTGGGTCTCCTGCATTGCAGGTGGATTCTTTACCAACTGAGCTATCAGGGAGGCCCTCAGTACCTAAGGATCTGCATTTAAGACGAACCTCTCCCCCAGGAATCATGGTGCAGGAGGTCACAGGACCACACTTTGGGAACTACTAGTCCTGGCAGAAAGCTCTCTTGACAGCCCACCACCAACGAGGAATAACTATTTGCCGGTGACAGTATTCCTTTCCAGCCCCTTAAGGTTTCTCTGTTTCCTTCCCCTGGAATATCCTATTGGATCTGACAGCCCATGCTAAGATTCAAGCCCCATCTCCTTTACTTACCCTCTCCAAGCCTCAGTTTTCTCAAATGAGATAATATCTACCTCCCCGGGCTGTTGTTGTTGTTCAGTCACCCAGTCATGTCCAACTCTTTGCGACCCCATGGACTGCAGCACACCAGGCTTCCCTGTCCTTCACCATCTCCCAGAGCTTGCTCAAATTCATGTCATTAAGTCGGTGATGCCATCCAACCATCTCATCCTCTGTCGTCCCCTTCTCCTCCTAAGAATGTATGTCTTATGCAGAGTTCCTGACATTCAAAAAGTGTCCAATAAACATGAGTTCATGGCTCTGGACTTCTGATTTCCAGCTCTCAAAAAGCAGCAGTGGCTAAGCTGTTCGGATTCCCACCGGTTTTTAAACAACAGTCCTGAGGAAGACCAGCAGATAATCGATGTGATGACTTCTCCCAGACTCATCCCCCAGTGGAAGGACTTTAAATACCTTCTAAGTGACATGATACAGAAAAGCACGGTAATGTATATGTAGGACAGACATGTTATTGGTCCCTGTCTGTCAGAAAAGTTATGAGCCTTTCAGAGGAGCATAGATCATCTGTGGAAAGAGGAAGCAGGCAGGGAAGATCATAAGGACAACTATCCCCATAACAGGAAGTGGGCCATCAACTTCCAAGTGAGCCTAGAGACCTCTTGCTGGGACATTTTGATAGTGAGAGGTGAACACTTTGGAGCACTGTCAGAAGAACTCACCCTCTGGGAAGAGAGATTTTTCTAGACGAGAAGGAAGAAGGTACCAGGGAGAACATTTGCCAACCTCAGGTTTGCTGTGACTTGACTCTTTGTAGAAGGATGCCAGGTGCATGTTTCATAGCACATGCTCTGTCACCATGGGATCATATATACACATGTGTGTATGTGTGTGTGTATAGATAGGTTATTGTCCTCTGTCAAATTTAAAGGCCAGGTAGCATGTCCTGAAAGTCTTACTTAGTGCAATTTTAGGCTTTAATAAAGCTGCACTGACTTTTGGGACACCCTGTTACTTTACCTGTGGGCATATGGCACTGTACTTGCCTTTATAATCTGTTAAATGTTTCTTTCATGACATGTGTACCCTATTAGACAGAAAGGAAAATGTTCAAGGACAGGTATAGCTAACTTCACGTTGGAAGGAATAGAATATCAGCTTCCCCTGATGCATGCGGGCGTATGGCACTGTACTTGCCTTTATAATCTGTTAAATGTTTCTTTCATGACATGTGTGCCCTATTAGACAGAAGGGAAAATGTTCAAGGACAGGTATAGCTAACTTCACGTTGGAAGGAATATCAGTTTCCCCTGATGCCCACATAGACCCTACAGTGGTTTGGTTCACCCTTGTGTTGAGGGTTTTGTTCCATGCTTGTGTAGTGCAGGTGTCCCACAGGTGATAAACTGCATGCGTGGGTGTCACAGGAGTGATCCTTGGGGCTGAGGCAGAATTTGACAATGGTTTCGATTGTGACTTGCATGAGAATATATTTAGTGTATGTGTGTTCCTGGTCTCTGAGTTCAATGCCATGCCTCTTCCCAGCAAAATTTAGATGACCTGAAGACTGATGTAGTTGTGTTGAGTGACCGGTCCCAGATCCTATTCAAAGAGTCTCGCCATCCTCAAAACATGCCGCTTATATGCTACTACTTCAGTGATGCCCACTTCTTTTCTTCCCTCTCTTGGGTGACAGCAAGCACAAAAGAAATACAGGTAAAACTACCCAGTCTTTCTTCTCCTTAGCCCATTCTAATTGGGGGCCATGCCTATGTAACTTCTGACCCTAGATTAATCCACGAAGATATACCCCTTGAGTGAACATGATCTGGACCCAGGAGTCCTCCTTCATCCTTTCTCCAGTTACCATCTCCATGTTGAGTAGATATTATTCTTTTCCTAAAGTAGGCCACGGTTAGGGAAAGAGTCCTAGATTTCCTGATTTTACAGTATTTCCACTTCCTCAAACCAGTGGGTAAAGTCACTCTAGGATCTTCCAACTTCTCCTTAGCAAGAGAAAAATAGCTGACTACTCTGCCCTTGCTCTTCTACTATCTACCCTAGATACTTTCCATCTTATTCTCTCTCAGGCTGTAGTATGGATGAAGAGCAAGACTGAGGACATGGTGGAGAAGAGAATGTTTTCCATGACAGATCGACTGCCACCCATCCAGTCCATGGTCCATACAGGTTCCTTTCATATCCTCGTGGTCTACTGTGGTGACCTGCTCCTGCGGCTCTTCGGGGACCACCTTCGGTCATTCAAATCCCTGGGGGTGGTACCCTGTCGCTTTAACATCACCTGCCTCTGCTATGATCCAGAAATGAAGATGCTTCTGTCGGGCATCCTGGGGGCAGTGGTCACCTGGACCATTGAGCGCAGCGGCAGCGGTCTCCAAATAGCCCACATGGTCGCCCTTCCTGGTGACGAGTTGGTCCATGACATTGTGCTGAACGGCCCCAACGGCTCCCTGCTTGCCATGTGCGAGAATGTGGTGAGGGTCCTGGAGCGCCAGGGCCATGGCCTCCTGGCAGAGGTGAAAAAGTTCTCTTCCACCATCAGTGGCTCCTCGATCACCTGCTGCTTCACCTGTTCTGAGCAGGGCTTTCTTTACGCCGGAAACAAGACTGGGGAGATCCAAGTGTGGAACCTCAGTTGGGGCCACTCCCTCCATACTTTCAAGGCCCACTTCTCTTCGGTGATCTGTATCCGCAGCCAGCCAGAAGCCCACACCCTGCTCACAGCTGGCCGGGAAGGCATAATCAAGGAGTGGAACCTGACTTCAGGCAATCTACTGCGGCGGCTCGAACTGGGCGAGGAGCTGTATAGGCTCCAGTTTATTGACCGCACCACTTTCTTCTGTCAGACTACCCACTCTTTCTCCTTGCGCAGCCTGCCCTTCTTCTATAGCCTCTTCAATGTCTGTGGCTCCACTCCCCAGCAGGTGCGCCGGGTCCATTGTGGCAGTAACTGGTTCCGGATCCTATGCACCACCGAGGACGGCCTGCTGCGCTTCATGTCCCCGCTAACAGGGAATCTCCTGGTCATCACCTGGCCCTTCTCAATCCTGGACCAGGCCACAGATTGGGCCTACGACCCCAATAAAGAGGAGCTCTTTGTAGCAACAGGCAGCCCAGACGTGCTGGTCTTTGACACCACCCGCTCCCCTTGCATGGCCAAGTATCTCTTATGTACCTCACCAGATTCTCAGGACCTGGTACAGTGCCTGGCTTATGGGCACTTCCACCTGGGCCGGGGTCTAGAAGGACTCATGTTCTCTGGATACCAGAGTGGTGTGATTAGAGTGCTCTCCCAGCACAGCTGTGCCCGGATTGAGACATACATGCACTTTGGTGCCGTCTTAGCCCTCTCTACACTGCCCGGAGGGCTCTACGGTAGCCGAGAAAACTCTTTGCTCTGTTCCTACGGAATGGATGACTACATACACCTCTCAGAAGCTGTGCTTGAAGGGGTCAGAGTGAAACTGCGGACCCTTGCCAGCATTCTCTGCAGCTGTCAGCTAACACACTTGATACTCTTGCCCAAGTCAGTGGGTGCCATCACCCAGACTAACTGCCTGCGTCTCTGGAAGTTCCATGACTTTCTGTCTTCTGGCTCACAGGATGGCTCAATGTTCATAGAGACCTTGCCTTTGCACCAATGCACCATCATCTCTTTTGATGTCTGCCTGTCCCTGAGTCTTTTTGTCACGGGTGGCAGTGATGGCTCTGTCCGGATCTGGAATTTCCATGGGAGACTCATAGCCATGCTGGACTCATCACTGCACTTTGGCCCACTCTGCTTTGCAAATGACCGGGGTGACCTGCTTGTAACTTTCAATCAGAGTCTTTATCTGGTGTCCTGTTTAAAGCTGCTTCCCGCATCCCTGCTGGTTCGCCTCTCCCTTATGGGTCTGACAGATGAAGTGCTCGAAGTCCCTAAGCCTTTCATACCAAGCTTCTTCTTCTCCTTCGAGACCATGTTTGTGCCCAAGTATATCTACCCTGGACATGGGCAGCAGCAACTGGTGGGTCTGGAGAGTCTCGTCAATCATCGGGCCATTGCCTTTGATCATAGTGTGCCACATGTCATTGAAGAAGACGAGCAAGGGAGCCCTGTGCTACTCTCTTCCTTCAAACATGATTTCGGGTATAAGGAAGCTGATGTGTCACAGGTGAAAAAACCACCTTATTTCCATTATGTGCTTCCTCCCCAGCTACAGCTGACTACCTGGGATGAACTCAACCCCTATCAGATACTGCGGTGCTACTTTGGTCATGGGCGGGAGTGGCTCTTGGCTCCAGATTGCTACATCCCTAACTCAGTGATCCGGGCCCGTCTCTGGCCAGAGGGCAGCCCGATATCCCTGCAGTGCAGCCTGCACTCACCTGTGCGGGAGCTAGAATGGGACAAGTCTCAGCAATTCTTCTTCTGGCACAGCCGGGCAAGAGCTATAAGCGACATGGAGCCATACATACATGAAAGGGAAGATGAAGACTTCCTCCTCACAAGAGCATCCAAGGATATCACTTACACTGTTCTTACAGACTCAGCAAACCGCAGCTGGCTGGGAAAAAAGATGAGTGAAATTGCTATCAATAGCCTGATAGAGACAATTCTCAACATTATAATCCATGCCACTCCACTGAAGTACCAGTGCTGTATTGGTGCTCTCGGGCAGATCTTTGCCTCTTACCAGGTGTCTCCACCCCTGCGCTCTGAAACAGCCCACCGTCTACTGGATGATACAACCAATTCCAACCCACTGATTCGAGAGCTGGCCTGGGAAGGGCTGAAGCGTCTAGGAATGATTACTCACCTCTTTGCCGTGCCTCTGGCCCAAGGACTAATGGACAAAGATGACAGAGTGAGGAATAAGACCCTGAGCCTCATGGCTGATACTGGAATCCATTCTAAGACCTCACTCTTGAACTTGGTCCAGAATCGAGAGACTTTCCGGGAGATGCAGTAAGTTCTTTGTGCCTTCCTCCATTCTTTACTAGCTTCTGATTTTCTTCTTCCTCTTCCCCATTTCCCCCTTCCCTTCCTTCACTGTCTCTTCATCTCTGTTCATGAGCTCTTCCTGTCTTTTATCCTTGTTCATAGTCTTTTCTCATTCCTAGCCTATCTGATGATCCCCTAACTGCCCACTCCTTTCTCCATTTCTTCTCCTGTTCCTGTTTGTCCCCTGATTCTTTAAGAACCCCTTTCACCCTTTTCTTCTACCCTGGAAGCTCCCATTCAGGTCACTCCATTCATTGCCATCTTGACTTCCTAGACTTTTTCTTTCTTCTTGGCCATCATTTCCTCTAAATATGCTGTCTCTGTGAGTTACATTGCCCAGTTTCCTGCCAGTTCTATAACAGTTCTTTCCTTCTTGTTCTCCCTCATGTCCCTGATTCAGCATGGTCCTTTCTCTCCTTTGACTTTCATAGGCAGGAAATGGTTGGGGAGGAAACCTTGGACCGTCTGCTGGGACTGCGAGCCCCAGATCTCCAAATCCTTCATACTCAAGTGGTGCAGCGATTGAATGAAAACCTGACCTTATACCAGGGTGATGAAAAGCCTACTTTTACTTTAGATGTCTCAGGGGCTTCTGAACTTACTGCCCTTTCCAAGGAAACTGATACTGTCCCTGAAGAACCTGAAGCTGCCTTCAAGCACAGCAAAGGCCCAAGACGGGGCCGACCAGTAGTCAGAAAGCACAGTATGTATGGGGTAATCTGATTCATGCCTCAGGGTCCCCTAGAGGCAGGGCAGTTAGGGCTAAAGTGAGACAAGAGGTATCAGAGAAGAACAGAGATAAGTGGAAAGATCTTTTCACAGAAAAGATCCCTCCTAGGAAGGATCTACCCAAATTAAGAGGGACCCCAAAACCTATCTCTGTGGGACTCGGCAGAGGTGGGGTGGAGAGGGGAAGAGGGAAGGAAGGCACTGGGGATAAAGCAAGGAGAAGCCCTTCTTGTTAAAGGCCTCAGCCCCCTCTGTCACTACTTCTGTTATGGCAGTTCATCTTAGCTCAGTTGGGAAGCGTGTTATCTAAGCCTCCCATGCTTTCCTTATCTGCATCTCCTGATTTTCCCTATAGCCCGAAAATTTTTGCGGAGCCTCAAGAAGCCCAAAGAAACTGGCACAGAGCCAGGTCCCTTAGAGGATGAAGGTGATCAGAGTGAAGCTGCACCCACTGAGGTGGAGGAGACTAGGTCTTCAGCCTCCAGTATATTAAAGGTTGCAAAAGATGATGAACAACAATCTTCAGAGGTAGATGCCTCAAAGGATCGTGTGGCCTTGACCATGAAGATGTTGAGGAAGACACGTGACAAAAGAGGCCGTAAATCAGTATCTCAAAAAACCATGAAGAGGCGCAAAAGGAAAGTAACAGACGCTGAAGTTACATATGAGGGATTACCACATACTGGAAAGACAGACTCAATTATGAAGCCACTGCAAGGCACAGGGCGGGGTGCCTCTGGAGCTCCTGGCCTCAGGTCTAGAGATGGCTTGATGTGGCGGGACGACCTGTGTCGTCTTATGACCCTGAGGATATCTGGTTCCCAGACAAAAATGTTAGAAGCTCTCAACAATGAGCTGGTGACCACGGCTCAGGAGATGCTGGCTGATCGACAGCCCAGCTGGGAGCTTTTTCAGGAGATCTGCCCCCTGCTGAAGAAAGACAGTGAGGAGCTGCTTGAGGACCTTGACTGGGATGTAGCCTGGCCAGAGGAGAAACCAGTTTTTATTCACGGATCAGCAATTAGAGAGGACATGGTGATCAGAGGCATGGAAGAGGAGACAAGAGAGACGCAAGAGCAAAAGACAGAAAAGGACATGCAGGACCTGTGGGAAACCCATGTAAGTCCAAAAAAAGCCAAGAAAAATAAAGTTCTTTTTGCACAACCAGACCTAAGCAAGGGAAAACGAATACCAAAGAAAGAAGAGAAAAAATCCTCTAAACCTTCTAAACAGAGGAAAGCAGTCCAGCAGGAGATAAAAGTGGATAAAAAAGAGAAGATAGCCAAAGAAGAGAGAGGCATGAGTCAGGAAGTGGAGGAGGTGGCCAAATTAAAGGAGAAAGTGGTTGAGCAAGAAAGAAGGCCACTTAAGGATGAGATAAAACTGTCTTGGCAGGAGTGGAAGAAGTCATGGGATCAATGGAAAAATGCTTTCGGTGAGACAAGGATATCATGGGATGAATGGAAGAACACATGGGAAAGCCAGCGTCATCAGGAAGAGGAGCAACTACCTGAGGAGGAAGAGCTGCTGCTCCTGGATGCAGAAGAGGGACAAGTCAGAAGGGACAAGACGAAGCGGACATGGGATGAATGGTCACAGATCTGGGAAAAGATGTCAGCCAGGGCCAGGGAGAAGATGTTGGTGACTCAGGAGGAAGTAACCCTTGAGGAAGAACCACCTCAGGAGTGGGAAGAAGAAGCAGAAGCAACAGCAGAAGAAGAAGAAGAAGAAGAAGAACCAATGACGGAAGAGCAGAGGCAGATCCACCAAGAATACAAACAGGCCCAGGCTGAGCGAAAACGGGCCAAGGCTAAAAGAAGACAGGCCCAAGAAGAGAGGAAGCTAGCTCAGGAAGAGGAGAAGCTAGCACATGAAGAGAGGAGACTAGCTCAGGAAGAGAGGAAAATGGCCCAAGAGTATGAGAAACTGGCCGAGAAAGACAGGAAAATGGTCCAGATGGAGAGGAATTTTATCCAGAATGAGGAAAAACTAGCCCAAATAGAGGAGATGCTGAGCCAGGATGCAGAGAAATTGGCCCAGCAAAGGAAGAGACTAGCCAAGAAATTGGAGAAACTGGCCCGAGAAGAAGAGAACATAGCAAAGAAAGGAGGGAAGCTAGCTGAGGTCAAAAAGATAATGATGCAGAAATTGGATAAACTGGCCCAGAAGGAGCTAGATCTAGCATGGCAAGAAAAGGAACTAGCCCAGGAATTGGAGGATCTGACCTGGGAAGAGGAGGAACTGGCTTTGAAAGAAGAGGAACTCAATCAGGAAGAGGAGGAACTGATCAATGAAGGGGACAGGCTGGATCAGGAAGAGATGACACTGGCATTGCAAGAAGAGAAACTGGATGCAGAAGAGAAAGCAGTGATCCAGGAGGAAAAACTGCTGGTTCAGGAGAAGAAGAGACTGTCCCAGGACAAACAAAATCTGTCTGAGGAAAAGGAAGGACTTGATCAGAAAAGGGAGCAACTGATGGAGAATAAGCATAAATTGGCCCGGGAAGAAGAGCTGCTGATTCAAGAAGAGAAGGAACTAGCCCAAGACAGGGTAAAACTTCCTGGAGAAGAGGAAAAACTTATCCAGAAGAGGGAGCAACTGATGGAGAAAAAGCAGAAACTGGCCCAAGAGGAAGAGCTACTGATCCAGGAAGAGAAGAAACTGGCCCAGAACATGGAAACACTGTCAGTGAAGGAGGCAAAACTTGCCCAGAAAAGGGAGAAATTGATAAAGAATAAGCAGAAACTGGCCCAGGAGAAGACTAAGCTTGTCCAGAACATGGAAGAACTTCCCCAAAGCAAGGAAATACAGGCCTGGAGGCTAAGGAATCTGGCCCAGGAGAAGGAGAAACTGGCTCAGGAGAAGGTGAAATTGGCTCAGAGGAGGGAAAACTTAATCCAGCTCCAGGAAATCCTCATCCAGAACAGAAAGAAATTAGTCCCTGAGAAGGAGGAGTATGACATGTATAAGAATAGGCTGGTTCAGATAGAGAAGAAGCTGATGGAGGAAAAGGAGAAACTCTTCCAGAAGAAGGAGAAACTGGCTACCGTAGAGGAGAAACTGACCCAATTAGAGGGAAGCCTGGCTGAGAAACAGCACAAAGTAGCCCATGACAAAATGAAATTAGCCATGGGGAAGAGGGCAATGTTCCAAGAACTGAACCAGCTCAGAGGTGACTGGTCTACTACCAGGGAAGAAAAGGCACTGGACATGGAAATGAAAATACTGACCTGGGAGAAAGAGACACTGGCTGAGCAAAAGGAAATTCTCTTTAAGGAAGAGACTCAAGAAACTTCCAAAGAGAAAAGACCAACTAAGGATGAACTAGAGCTAATCAAGAGGAAATTGTCACTAGAGGAAAAGATATTGCTCTATGAAGAAAGGATCCTGGCTGCAGAGCAAACAGACATGGCCAAAGAAAAACTGGAATTTACCAGAGGAGAGAGAGTATATGCCCAGGAACAAAGGAAGCTAGCCAGGTTACTAAGAAAATTAGCTAAAGAAAGCAAGGGCATTTCCAAGGAACCATTAAAGGTGAGCAGCAAAGCCTTAAAGACACTTCAAGACCTTATTAAAGAAGAAAGGAAACTAACCCAGGAAGAAATAGAGATGACAAAGTTAAAGAGGTTATTTGTCCTTAAGGAAAGGGAATTGAACGAGGTACAGAATGAACTTGATGCCAAGGACTGGGATTTTTCCAAGGAACAACCAGAAATTACCATAGATGAGAAGAAACTGGCTAAAAGGCAGAGAAAACTAGCCAAGGAAATTAGAAGATTGATAAAGAGGGAGAAAAATATTACTGAACAAGAAAGCGTATTGGCCAGGCAACAGAGAGATGTCATACAGGAAATAGAGGAAGAAGAAACAACAGAGGAAGAAGAGGCAAAGTCATTCCTTAAACAAAAGTCAAGAAAAAGAGAAAAGCTAAAGAGAGCTGATACACAACAGGAAGAGTTACTCAGCCAAGAGGACGAGCTGAAAAGTGTGAAAAGTGAGGAGAGCTCTTCTGAAGAAATGGAACGCCTGTTAGATGAAATAGAGCAAGAGAGCTTGTCTGAGGAGGAGGAGGAAGAAGAGGAAGAGGAGGAGGAAGAGGAGGAAATGGAAGAGGAGGAGGTGAAGGAAGAGGGAATGGTAGAGGAGGAGTTGGTGAAGAAGGAAGAGGAAGGGAAGGAGAGGAAGAAGAAGAAAAGGAAAAAGAAGAAAGTGCAGGAAAAGGAAGAGAAGGAAGAGGGGAAAGAGGAAGTAGTTGAGGAGGAGAGCACAAGTGATGAAGAGATGGAACATTTGAGTGAGAAAGAGGAAGGAGAGCACAGAATCTTGTTAGAAAAAGAGGTAGACAAGAAAAAAACAATTTTTAAAAGAGAAAAAATATTTAAGTTACCAGAAGAAGGAAAAAAACACTTAAGAGGAAGAGAAGAAGTCCTTTCTATTGAAAAAAGAATCCCTGACATCAAAAGCAGTGCTGTAAAACTGGAAGTTCTGAAAAGCCCTTCCAAGCAACTGATCTCAGTCGTTCTGGGGAGCAAAGAGAAGATATCAGAGCCAGTGCTAACTAAACAAATATCCTGGGAAGATAAGGCCATAGCATTTGGGAAGCCTGGAGTATTCCCAGGGGCAGGGTTTATAGATAAACAAGAACTGTTGAAGAAATATAAGCCCATACCTCTACAAGTTTTGGATATAGTTTTGGAGGCCCAGGAGCCTGACTTAGAGACCCCATATTTATCCCACATACTGAGGAAGACCATGGAAGCTCAGAAACTCCAAGGCAAACCACTGGGGGCCAAGTGGCAGTGGATCCTGCAGCGTCATCCATCTCTGAAGAAACAGAGTGAGGTACAATTACCTTTGTCCAAAATCCTGGCTGAGGAAATCTACACAGACATCAGTGTCTCGGATGTAGAGTGGATCCACCATGTCCTAGAAAAGATGGAGGCAGGAGAACAGCTTTCCAGGGATAGTTTCCACCGGTTGTGCCAGCTTCTCAAAGACCTCACCGCAAAGGAGAACTTAGAGTGGATGCACCTGGCCAAGCTCGAAGCCATCGTGTACCATCACAAGCAGATCATGGAATCCCGAGGCACACATGTCTCCAAGCCCAGTAAGGAGCCCCTGGGTCCAAAGTACCTGAAAGTGATCCCTCCCATCAAAGGAAGGGAAAAGGAGAGCTGGCTCAAACATCTGGGTGTCTCCACACCAAAGTCTCTGTTAGCTACCAAAGGGATCCCAGACCCGAAGGCTATCAACTGGCATCTTCTGGGAGAGCCTTACCGGAGTGCACGGGCAAAGCAGATAGCCACTGCTCTCAGGGGGATGGAGATGCGATACTATGATTCTGCCACAAGAGACATTTTCACAGGTGCCCTGGACTCTGTTGAAAAACAAACCCTGGCGCTGATGTTTCAGAAAGACTTCTGGGCTTTTAAGGATAAGGGCAGGTTTTCCAGGTTGCCCAAGTTGGAGAAGAAGGCACAACCTGTCTCTAAAGTAAAGGAGGAGGTGCCTCTGTGGGAGACGTTTGTGGCACTGTACCATGTTCTGCGGATGTTGCAGGAGCGATACGCAAGAGACAGTACTGCGTGGATGGAACAGTTCAACCGTCTTATGGACCTATACCAGCTTAAGTCTCCCCGAATCCAGAAGCTGATGCAGGACTTGCTACTGAGAGAAGAGCCCCAATTCCAAGAGGTCACTTACAAAGAGGCCCTAAGGGCCGTGGAGCTAGCCCCTGGGGAGCGGTTGTTCTACCACCTGCTCTGTGGTGGCTCTCAAGCCCCTAAAGAGCCTCTGGCATTCCAGGAGGTGGTTCCCCTCCCTGGGCAGAACAATGTGCGTACCATGCTTCCCATGGGCATTGCCCAGTATGGAATCTTAGAGCTTGCCTGGAAGAGCCTGCCGGAAGCTGATTTACACCTCACCAATGAACTGCCCTGTGTGGCTGCTCCTACTCTCTGATTTGGGACTGGAGGGGCGGGGCTTTTCATTCCTACCTGGAGAATGGCCTGTCACCAGGATCTAGACCTTTACCCCTAGGACTCACAGGGAGGTAGAGCCAGGCCAAAGCTCTTTCCCTGGACAATTCCAGAAACTAGCCTTTACACATGGAATAAAGAGCAGGTTCTCATTTACAAAAAGCACCGTGATGGGTCCTTTTTTCCTCAAACATTGCTTCTCTAGGAAGGTAGCCAGGGAGACCAGACACTCACCTACTCCTGAGAGTGGGAAGACTCCTCCAGAGCCAGTGGTGCTCACCCTCCAGAGGCGTTCTGGCGGAAGAGTCTGTCTTTGTCCTCTTTCTTCCTTGCCCCCCACCATTCTCCCCTAAAGACCAGAGGAAGGGAAGCACCTGGCACAAAAATGAATGTATATTTGGCATTAATATAAGAGGCATTGATACAATGGAAAGAAAATGGATTTTAGAATCAAAAGACCTAGCATTTTGCCCTTGGATCTTGGGGGTACACAGTGGAGGCAGACTCTAGTTCCCTGATCATAGTTCTGCATGCTGATGCCTAATTCCCAAACAGCTGGTATGGTGGGTGTCAAGAAAATCCTCAGAATATGGGAAAAACTTCAAGTTCTAGCCAGTACCACCTGGTGACCTCATTACTGGGTGGCATTAAAAGATGAGGTCATTTGATGTTAAAGCAGAAAGCAAAGGAGGGAAGGCTATGTCTTTCACTTCCTTTGCCAACCTAAACATGGGTTTTGGGGAGGATGATAGAATGAAAATTTGAAAGATTAGGTGTAAACTCTAATAGGCCCTGGACATTCTAGGGACTTATGATCCTTCTCTCTAGTGATTAAGGAGAAAAGAGGGGCTTTCTTGATGGTCTGGAGTTAAGAATACACTTTGCAATGCAAAGGACACTGGTTTGATCCCTGGTCTAGAAGGATTCCACATGTCATGGAGCAACTAAGCTCATGTGCCACAACAAGAGAACACACCATAAGGAGAAGCCCGTGCTCACTGCAACTAGAGAAAGCCTGTGCGCAGCAGTGAAGACCCACCACAGCCATAAATAAGTAAATCTTAAAAAAAAAAAAGACAAGTTAAAGGGAAAGAGTTAATAAAGTGGAGGAAGTTGTCACTGCCAGTAATGGTGATCCTCCCCAATCTCCTCTTCCCACTATGACGACTTCAAAACTGCCTCTTTCCAGGTAAGCCAAACCAACAGATTCTAGCAAGTAGCCCATCTATGCGATTTGCCACCCTCGATCCCAACCTCTTCTTTATTCTACTCCCTCCACCTGAGTTTGCTTTTGTGGGGAATCCAGAAATAGAAGGCAACAGAACATTTTGAGAAGTTGGATTCACTTTGAAGGCCAAGGATAATGAGAGCCCTGAGTATGTAGTAGGGTTCTTGCACGTCAGATAACATACTAGGCCTGAAGTATGGAATACATGCAAGCTGGGGGCTGGGGATACGGAGTCTCAAAAAGGATGATCAACCCAACAGCCAGGCAAGGCAGCAGAAGTAAGGATGGTCCAGCTGGCTCTGCAGTCTTGACCTGAATCATTTCTCCTTTCTGGCATCTGTTTACTTATCTGTGTCAAAAAGAAGACAATATATATTACAAATATAAGGCATGAAAGAGGAAACATCACTACAGACCCTACAGACATTAACAGGGTAAGGACTAATATGAGCAACTCTATGCCCATAAATGTGACAACACAGATGAAAAGGACAAATTCCTAGAAAGATCCAGAAAGGGAATAGTAATACTTATCAAATCTATTTTGCAGGATTTCAGTGGGTCTTCCAGTCAACAAACAACAAATAAAACACCATGACAAGAAATAGTCTTAACTGTTGCCCCAGAGTCAGGAAATCTATAGATGGCTCTTCAATTCTATGGGTGATACTGGCTATGGCTATGATGACCTGGATAGCCTTTTGCCTCTACCAGAATGGCAGAGACCAGGGCTTGTTTGTATTTTCTTTTTAGTATGGAAAATTTCAATCACTAAAGTAGAAGAGAGTATTATCATGAACCCCCAGATCCCTATCACCCCATCACTTAATTATAAACATCTTGCAAAAACTGCTTCATCTATTTTTTCCTAATTGAAATATTTTAAAATAAATCCCAGACATCAAGATGTCTTTGATATCAAAGGACCCTAAGTCCTTTGACACTCATCTCTAAAAAATGAAATTTTGCTATATAAAAATTTTCACAGCTAACAAAACAGTAATCCTTTACTATTATCCAATGCTCTATGCAAATTTCCCTGGTTGTCCCCAAAAGTGTCCTTTTATGCTTAATCTGTTTGAATCAGAATTCAAACAAGGGCTACATACTGGATTTTATTGTTATGCTTCCTAAAAAGTTGGCTTAAAGCTCAACAATCAAAAAACTAAGATCATGGCATCTGGTCCCATCACTTCATGGCAAATAGATGGGGAAACAGTGACTGACTTTATTTTGGGGGGCTCCAAAATCACTGCAGATGGTGATTGCAGCCATGAAATTAAAAGATGCTTGCTCTACAGAGGATGAGATGGTTGGATGGCATCACTGACTCAATGGAGATAAGTTTGGGTAAACTCTAGGAGTTGGTGATGGACACAGAGGCCTGGCATGCTGCGGTCCAGGGGGTCTCGACTGAATGACTGAGCTGAACTGAAGTGAAGATTCTTAATCTTAAATATTTACACTCATCTCTGTCCGGTTTTTTTCACACTGTAGATTTGTTGAAGACACTGAATCAGTTATCCTTTGGGTTTCTCCCATGTAGTTTTCTGATTGAGCAGAGTTTTGCTAAATGAGATCTGGTTGTGTGTCAGGGGTGCATGAAACTTCGAAATTAGATTAAAAAGACTTGTTGGTGTGTGCAAGGTATTCCTCCACCCACTGCCTTGGAGAGGGAGCATTCTTCCAAATTTGTTCTTCTCCAGGTACTCTCAGTTCTGGGGTATCCTACAGATTGTTCATATATCTTATAACAAATTTGGGGTCATTTTAAGGCCTTTGACTTTTACTCTGCATTTGATGGAAACCATAGGAGGGTTCTGAGAAGATGAGTGATAAAAAATCTAATTTACATGGAATTCCCTGGTTGTCCAGTGGTTAGAACTCTGCACTTTCACTGCCCAGGGCAAGGGTTCAATCTCGGGTTGTGGAACTGACATCCCTCAAGCTGCACACGTCTCGGCCAATAAAAACCCATCAATTTTCATATTCAAAAAGCATCCTATGTGTGGATAATAGATTGTGGTAAGGGAGTCAGAGGCTGGGGGCAGGAATGGAAACAGGGAGATTAATGACGAGGTTACTACAACAATTCAGAGGAAAGAGGGCAGTGGGTCTGAACCAGGGAGAAAGAGGCAGTAGACATGAGGAGTATTGGGCAGTTTTGGACCAATCTAGAGGTAGAGCCACTGGAATTTGCTGTCAGAATGGATGTGAACAGGAGAGAAAGAAGGAGTCAAAGATGACCCCAAGGTTTGGGGCTTGACCAGTTGGAAAGCTGGAGGCACCATCAATTTAGCTGGGGAAAATTAACAAGGAGTTGGTACTAGGAAGATTAGGAGTTCATGAATTCAGTTTTGGACGAATTGAGATTGATGTGCCCATGAGACATTTAAGAGGAGATGTCCAGAAGGCAACTGGATATAAGTCTGGAGTTTAGGAGACAGGTTTGTAGTGGGGTCATAAGTTTGGCAATCACTGGTGTATAGATGATACTTTAAAAAATCCAAGAGACTGGATGAGATGACCAAGGAAGTGGACGTGGATAAAGAAAGAGAAACAAGGATTGTAGCCTGAGGAGCTCTAACATTAAAAGGGCAGGGAGAAGTCAGCCTAGGAAACTGAGGAACGCTAATGAGTAGAAAGAAAAATCAAGAAACCTCTGGTGTCACAGAAACTAAGTGAAGAAACTGTACCAAGGAGGAAGGAGTGATCAATTGTGTCAAGTGCTGCTAACAGGTCAAGCAGAAAATAATTGAAAGTCAGTGATTATATTTAGCAAGATGAAGATTATCAGTAACCCTGACAAGAGCAGTTTTGGTAGAGTGATGAGTGCATAAGTCTGATTAGACTGCTTTAAAGACAGAACAAGAGAAAAGAAATTGGAAGCAAGAAATATAGATATTTTCTAGTAACTTTGCTAGAAATGTGGCAGTAGTTGATGAGAGAAAGGAAATAAAAGTCGTGTGTGTGTGTGTGTGTGTGTGTGTGTGTGTTTTCAAGGTAAGGGAATTGCTGGAGTCAAGAACTTGATAAATAGAGAATTCCCTGGTGGTCCAATGGTTAGGACTCAGTGGCTTTCACTGCAGACCAGGGTTCAATCCCTGGTGGGGGAACTAAGATCCCACAAGCCACTTGGCCAAAAAAAAAAAAAGAGAGAGGAAGAGAGAGAAATTGATAAACAACAACAACAAAAAAAGGTGAGATTGGACTTCCCTGGTGGTCCAGTGGCTAAGATTCTGTGCTCCCAATGCAGGGGCCCAGGGTTTGATCCCTGGTTAGGGAACTAGATTCCACATGCTGCAACTAAGACTTGGTGCAACCAAATAAATTTAAAATTTTTTAAAAAGGGTGAAATCTAGTGCCCAAGTGGAGAGACTAGAGTTAGATCAAATCATGGTTTAGTTGTGGGATGAGCACTAGAGGAGTGTTCATACAGAGGTACAGAGGTAGATTAGTAGGTAGGTGGGTGAGTCCGGAGATTCTCTTCTGATAGCTTAGATTTTCCCAGTGAAATGAGAAGCAGGGTTATTAGTTGAGGGAAAGGGAATGGGAGTATGTGTTTGAAAAGTTGGGTATGACAGTGAATGGACTTAGGAAAAAAAAATGCTGGGAAGCATTAAGAATGATTTGATACTGTATCTACTTATGCCTAGAGATACTTAGGAGAGTCAAATTCATAGAGTCAGAAAGTACATTGGCAGATGCCAGCAGCTTGGGGGTGGGAAGGGGGAATCAGGATTTAGTGTTTAATGGGGACAGAGTTTCAGTTTAGGAAGGTGAAAAACTGGGGAGATGGATGATGGTGAGAGCTGCACAACAATGTGAATGTACTTAGTGCCACTGAACTATACAGTTAAATATGGTTAAAATAGTATGTTTTATGTGACTTTTACCATAATAAAAAAAATTTTTTTAATGAATTGAGTTTGGGTCGAGTCCAGTTGGACTACTTAAGGAGAGAGGTGACCCCGCGGGGCCTCCTGGGAAAGCTCCCTCTCTCCCCAGGGTCTCCAGAGAGACAGCTGTAATTCCCTGGCTCCAAGAAACACAAGGAGCTAAGCAAGCAGCACACAGGAACTAGTTTCCCAACATTGTGTAGGTTAGGGGTTATGGTTCCTATCCACTCCCAACACTGCCTTCACAGCTACCTACTTGCCGCAGGCAACACTAGGCAGGTGGATTGGCCTGGTAGCAAGGTAAACCCCAAGGAGCTTCCCCACGAGCATCCCGGGAGCTGCAGCCGCACCTTCCCGACCCCCGACACCCCCCCACCACCCGCGCCGTCCTCTCCCTAGGCCTGGGGTCCCTAGGGAACAAGCTAAGGCTGAAGTGAAACGCGGAACTTAACGAAACTTGGGACGGATGGTATTGGAAACTGCATGATGCAGCAGCACACTGGACAAATCCAAACTTCTAGCCGTCACGTCTCCAGGAGACGGAGAAAGACTTGGCTTAAGGAGCGCTGCATAGACGCTGGGAAATGTCGTCCCGCCTCCGCGGCCCAAACCGGAGTCGTAGTTCACTCGCCGTCGTGGGTGTTGTTCCAAGTCCCCTGCCTGGAGGGACGAAATCTCCCGCCCAGAGAGAGCTCGCGTATTACTAGCCACCCTTTCACGCGGGTCTCTCTGTCCCTCCCTTCTGGTGTCTCCGTCTGAAGAGCGGGAAAACCGCGAGACCCGTGGAGAAAAGAGGCCGAAGAGCGCGTGAGAGGCCAAGAATGGGCGCCACTGAGCGAGAGAAGGCGAAGCAAGCCTCGAGAGGCTTCAGGCGTGGAAAGTGGGGCGTGGGGTGGGGCAGGGCCTTTGGGGGGGTGGCGCCAGCGCACGCACGTCACTCACATCTGCGCGCAAGTCTGAGCTCCGCCCCCCGTGCCCGCCCCCTTGCCCGGTGGGGCTCGCGTGCTTTCCTGCCAAAATGCTGTGGCCGCGCCTCCCGGCCCAGCAGGGCGGGAGCGAGATCCTCGCAGAGGGCCGCGCGGACGTGGAAGGGAGCGTTGGTGTGACTCATACGCGCGTCCCTCCTCGCGACCAACCTGCACAGGGACGGAGCGGGGCCGTTCTCTCAAGTTCGCCCTCCAGTGGCCTCCCTGCCTGTTTGCCTGTGAGGGATAGCGCAGAAAGAAGGCAGAGGAATGTTTGGATCTGTCTGCTCCATCTCCTACCACTGGTGTTTTTATAAAAGGTTTTGCTTTGTGGCTTCACCTGGCCTCGTGGGGCTCGGGCGCAGGCATCGCACAAGGCGCGAGGAGCCCCTTTATAACCACAAAGGGGCAGCGGCGCCCGCGGCCGCTGATGCCCGGCCTCTGTCATAAAGGCCAGAGCCTCAAATGCGCATCCCCGCAGATCCGGTGACATGGCATAATAGCTAAGAACATGCCTGGACTGTGACTCTGGCTCTGCCACGTTCTAGCTGTGTGACCGGACCAGGGCATCACAGTACTTTACTGTAGGGCTGCAGTCAGCAAATGAAAATGTGGGACCTCCAGTTAAGTTTGAATTTCAGTTAAAAGACGGACAATTTTTTTTTTTTTAGCGCATGTCCCAAATACTGTATTTCTGAAATTCGAATTTAACTGGGAATCAAATTCAAGTATAATTGTATTTTATCTGGCAACCCTGATTTAAGGTATTGTTGGAGCAGTGCATAAACAGTTCCTAAAATAGTACCTGGCATATGTAAACATGCAGTGAAGTTGATATAAAATGGCAAAGCTCCCCTAACTACATCACATCCCAACACATTAGTGTCTGTAGTCATCTGGCTGTGCTATCTGAAATGGTCACCCTTCAGAAAGCCACTCTGTGGAGCAAGTCCAGTGTACATGCCCTCTCTACCCTACTGCCATATTTTCAAAGGGCCAGATTCTCCCTGCTCCCAGTACCCCTCAAACTCATGTGGGGATTTTGAGGTTCTTAACAGTGCTGGTGTTGTGCCCACTGGACATAGTGAGTGTGTGTGTGTGTGTGTGGGGGGGGGGGGTTGAGAGATCTGAACCATTATGATGTTGGAGCTAGTGACACTCTTTCTATAGGAAGCTGTGACACAGTCTCTTCTAGAATTAGGGGCATGTTATCTTCTGTGAAGGATAAAGGTGTATGAGCTAGGAGTGAATAAGGAGGGGATGGGAAACCTGTGATGGATGATGTTAATAAAATTTTACCAACTTGGAGAATGTATATTGAGGGGCATTGAGGTATCTGAGCCACTCAATGAGCCACTGAGCTTATTAAGGTATCTGGTATATGTGAGAGAAGACTTTGTTCAGTCTGAGAAACCTAAAGGGAAAAAAGAAGAAACTGAAGTGGCAGAACCTAGGATTATAAATGTAAGTCTATTTGATTCTCAAGTGTCATTTTTCATCTCTCCTATTCTCCCTCAATCACAACATGCCCCTTCACTTCTCTCACAATAATAGCCTCCTGAATTTTACTGTATTTTTTTTCTTTTACAAAATCTCTTGAATTTCAGTATCTCACTTTATTTTTTAAAGGTTATCATAGGCAGAAAGAGAGGGTATTCCTCCTTGAGGCCAAGAGGGGTTAAAGTGAAATGCCTCTCACTGCAAACTTGGTGAAATGGAGTGTTAACTTAGGATTTTTTTTTTTTTTTTCCCCTGAGAGGTTTACAGAATCTTAGCTCCCCCACCAGAGATTGAACCCTGGGCCCATGCAATGAAAGCATCGAATCCTAACCACCCAGTCCTAACCTAGCCCAGAATTTGGACAGAAGTGTCAGACATGTTCCGTTTTTTCCAGCCAGAGCTCCAAGTCTTGAACTACCAGAGAAAACTTTAGGGAGTCTCTGAGATTGTGGAAACCAACCCTCATTTCTCTTCATATCAGCTTAATGTAGCAGCCCATTCTCTCTTTTCTGTATTTGCACTCCCCCTCCTGACATTTGTTGTTGTTAAGTCGCTAAGTCGTGTCTGACTCTTTGTGACCCCATGGACTGCAGCACACTAGATGTCCCTGTCCTTCACCAACTCCCGGAGTCTGCTCAAACTCATGTCCATTGAGTCGATGATGCCATCCAGCCATCTCATCCTCTGTTGCCCCCTTCTTCTGCCCTCAATCTTTCCCAGAATTTGGGTCTTTTCCAATGAGTCGACTCTTATAAGCTGGCCAAAGTATCAGGGCTTCAGCTTCAGTATCAGTCTTTCCAAGGAATATTCAGGGTTGATTTCCATTAGGGTTGATTGGTTTGATCTCCTTGCTGTCCAAGGGACTAGAAAGATTCTTCTCCAACACCATTTAACCATGTTTAATTATTTCATTTAAAACAATCCTTTTTAAAAAACAGGGTATAGTTCTCTACAATGTTGTGTTAGTTTCTTCTGTACAAAGACGTGAATCAGCTCTGTATGCACATGCCCCTCCTGTTGAACTTCCCTCATCCCCCACCCCTGCCCCATCCCATCCATCCACACCACCACAGAGCAGCGAGCTGAGCTCCCTGTGCTATACAGCAAGTTCCCACTAACTAACTGTCTGTTTTATACATGGCCGTGTACATACACCAATCCCAATTTTCCAATTCATCCCCGGACTGCCTCATGTCCACAAAGCCATTCCCTACATCTAGGTCTCTATTCCTGCCTTGCAAATTGGCTCATCTGTACCATTTAGGGACCAATCATTTGGTCTTTGGGTTTCCCAAGTGGCCCAGTGGTAAAAGAATCCACCTGCTAACAAAGGAAATGTAGATTTGATCCCTGGGTTGGGAAGATCCCCTGGTGGAGGAAATGGCCATCCACTCCAGTATTCTTGCCTGGGAAATCCCATGGACAGAGGAATGGGGTAGGCCACAGTCTATAGGGTCGCAGAGTCTGACGTGACTGAGTGACTGAGCATGCAGGCATTTGGTCTTCCCATGCATGTCCTAGAGAGACATATGCAGGATTTCAGAAGGTTTAAAGTTTACTGGTGGTAGAAACTGAAGTGAAGTAGTAAGAGAGGTTGCTAGGTGGGAGAGAAATGCCTGGAATTGTAGGAATCCCTAAGGCAGTCCCCCTTAGTACTCTAATGGCAGCTAGGAACTGTTTGCTTCGGTCCTCAACAAGTACAGAAATTCAGAGAAAGTATTTCAGGACTTTTATAGAAATTTGACAGGAATCATATCTATTGAATTTAATAATGAAAAATCTGGAGTTTAAAAAAAATCTTTCCTTGACCATATATACTCTTCTACTTCTCTCCCTCTCTCTCGATTTCTCCATCCTCCCTCTCTCCCTTTCATCTCCAGGCTTTTGAAAAGCTGCATTTAAGTTTCTTCAGTTCAGTTCAGTTCAGTTGCTCAGTCATGTCTGACTCTTTGAGACTCCATGACCTGCAGCACCCCAGGCCTCCCTGTCCATCACCAACTCCCAGAGTCTACCCAAACCCATGTCCATCATGTCAGTGATGTCATCCAGCCATTTCATCCTCTGTCGTCCCCTTCTCCTCCTGCCCTCAATCTTTCCCAGTATCAGGGTCTTTTCAAATGAGTCAGCTCTCCGCATCAGGTGGCCNTTTCATTTACTCCTCAGCTCCTTCCAATCTGACTTCAAGAATCTTCTGTGATACTGTTCTCATTAAAGATGCCAGTAGCGTTTGCCAAATCCACTCTTTGGTTCATCTCATTTGATCTCTCTGTTACCATTGATCTACCTTCATGAAACTCTCCTCCTCTGGTTTCTGGGAGAACATCTTATCTTCCTATAGTTGTTCCTTCTCAATATGCTTCCCCACAGTTATCTGCTTATCAAGTCCCCTCTCATGCTGCATATTCCCTTGTGGGCACATTCCTCCAGGTGTCTGGCTTCAGCTCTCCCTATGCGTTGATCATTTTCAGATTTGTTTTCAATCCAGACCTTTTTCCTCATCTCCAGACCCACATATCCAGTTGTCTTCATTTAGATACTCCATAACCATCTCAACAAATCCAAAATCAAACTGATTTTCCCCATACCTGATTTTCTTTAGTCCATCTGAATGCACCAAATTTCATTCACAGCCAACTCACAAACCCAGGAACCATTATAGATTTCTCCTTTCCTGACTCTCCCCACCAACTAATTTTCAAGAGCCATAGATTCTGTGTGCATGCATGCTAAGTTCCTTTAGTCATATCCTACTCTTTTCGACCCTATAGACTAGCCTGCCAGGCTCCTCTGTCCGTGGGATTCTCCTGGCAAGAATACTGGAGTGGGATGCCTCCAGGAGAAGCAATGCTCTCCTCCAGGGGATCTTCCTGAGCCAGGGATAAAACCTTTGTCTCTTACATCTCCTGCATTGGCAGGCAGGTTCTTTACCACTAGTGCCATCTGGGAAGCCCACAGTTTCTAACCCCTAAATATCTTATATTGTTCTCATAATTTGATTTTCCTTTCCCACTGCTCTAAATCAGATAATATATTAATAAAATTGTTTTGAAGTGTTTTTCTAACAACTACTCAAGATAAAAATGGAACTCCTGGGACTTCAGTGGTCCAGTGGTTAAGAATCCACCTGCCAATGTAGGGGACACAGATTTGATCCCTGCTCCAGGAAGATCCCACATGCTGTGGAGCAACAAAGCCTGCATGCTGTTCTGCAGCCCGTGCTCTGCAACAAGAGAAGCCACTGCCGTGAGAAGCCCGCCCACCTCAGTGAAGAGTAGCCTTCACTCACCACAACTAGAGGAAGCTTGGGTGTAGCAAGAAAGACCCAGCAGTCAAAAACGAATAAATTAAAAATTGAACTCCTTAGTTTGGCGCTTACTATTGACTCCCACCTACCTAGCCACTTTTTTTTTTCCCCCTATTGCCCTCTTGAACTTTGTGCGGTAAGAATATCTAACTTCTGGGACTTCCTTGGTGGTCCAGTGATTAAGAATCTGCCTGCCAGTGCAGGCGACATGGGTTTGATCCCTGGTCTGGGAACTAAGATCCATATGCCATGGGGCAACTAAATCTGTGGGCCACAACTACTGAGTCCACTCACTCTAGAGCCTGTGCTCTGCAACAAGAGAAGCCACTGCAATGAGAAGCCCACACACCACAGCTAGAGAGTAGCCCCTGCTCGCCACAACCAGAAAAAGCCTTCATGTGGCAATGAAGACCCAGTGCAGCCACCACCACCCCCCATATATACAATAAAATAAATTTTAAAAATTAAAAAAAAGAGTAACTCCTGTATAGTTTTGGGCACAAATCATGCTTTCAGTGACTGTGCCATTCTCTCCTCCTGGAACGCATTATCTGCATGAGCAGCCCCCCTCTGCTCCTCTTGCGCTGAGTACCTGTTTTCCCCCTAGAATCTTCTGTGGCATCACATGCAGCTTCACGTGCTCCATTACAGTAATTACTGAATTTTAATCACGCAAGTTCCTTGAGGACAGTGACTGCTTTTGATCTTAGGATAACGAGCGGACAGCAAAGTACATGTTATAAAGTAGAATGTCAACAAATAGTTGTTGACTATTTTGGAACTATTTTTTTTTTTTGGCTGAGCAGGGCATGGCTTTCAGAATCTTAGTTCCTTGACCAAGGACTGAACCCAGATTATGGCAATGAAAGCACCAAGTCCTAACCACGGGACTGCCAGGGAATTCCTTGTTTACAATTTAGATAAGCTGCAAGAAAGTATAAATACTAGAGCCAATACTCATGACCCCACAGCTCAGAATTTCACATTTGAAATTCATTATAACTAGTTTTTTGTGTCATTATCCAGTGTCCAGATGCTTTCATCCAGATATATAATATTTTAGCATAATACAGTATTTTCAAGTTTCATCCATTTTGTAGCATGTACCAGTACACTCCTTTTTGTGGATGAAAAAAAGAATTTAATTCATTCACCAGTGATGGACATTTAGATTGTTTATACTTTGGGGCTATTATGAATAATGCTACTGTGAACACTTCTATACAAGTTTTTAAGTGAAGATTTTTTAAAATCTCTTTTTAATTGGAGGAAAACTGCTTAACAGTTGTATTGGTTTCTGTCATACAGAAAGCAAATCAGTTGTGAAGATATTTTAAAAAATATTTTTAGAGCACTTTCAGTTTTATAACAAAATTGAGAGGAAAGTACAGAGATTTTCCGTATATTCCCGGCCTGCACATATGCATTACCTCTCCCTCAGTATCATCACTCACCAGCATGGTACATTTTTCATCAAGGATGAACCTACATTGATACAGTATAATCATCCAAGTCCATGCCTTATCACTCTTGGTGTGCATCTTACAGGTTTGGGCAAAAGTATATATATAAATATATTTGGCATCACCGACTTGATGGATATGAGTTTGAGCAAGCTTTGGGAGATGGTGATGGACAGGGAAGCCTGGTGTGCTGCAGT